TTTCCTACCCGGTTATACATGTATAAGCAATGCGTGAGTTAAACATAGATATAGATCGTTCGCGACATTACGAATGCTTTTGGACATGTTAAAGAATTGTGTTGTTTTCAGCTTAATCGTATAGTTTAGTGATAACTTGTGAATTATTGTAATTGATCATAAACTTCTAAGCATAGTATAAACAACGATTTGTAATAAATAATAAATATTCACCTTGGGTAAATATTAATCCTGCATCTCAGAATATAAAATAGATAGATATATTAGGGCCCTTACGATCTCAAGTGGTCATTATTGACATAAATGGAATACTGTTTTTCGAAATCTAAGTGTTGATATTTCAATTTAAGTTCAAACCTTAAGTATTAGAGATAAGGATATGTATTTAATGGTTCTAACAGATGGCACGTTAATAACCCTTTTAAAATTGACACACTACTCTATCATCTCCGGTTTGTTTGTCTAGTACACGTCATGTGTGTTTGGAATGTAAATAAGGATACATTGGTCAAAAACCCGTCATTTACACTTTGACTATAAATACAAAATCACGACCATCAAGCATTTTTTTTAACTTTTTTTAAAACTTTTATTAGAGGATGGATGTGTAGTTTGGGATAAAAAAGCGATTATGTTATCAGATGCTTAACAATTAAAAACTTAAAGATACCAACATATTATATCAAAATTCACTAACATCACCGGTCGCCACTTTTAAACAGGAATAGGATGGCAGCCATTTTCATATAGGCGCAAACACTATTTTAAATTCATTCACTATATATTTCATACAATTTTAACAACAATGGTTCCGAACATAGCATATGGAAATTTCAACCAGTGATGTGTGATTGATGAACGTAGGACAAACACCATTGCACCAATGAAATTTGGTAAAAGCTACAATGCGTTCAAAAATGAATTACACTGCAACACTGTTTCACCGTGATGCTAAGGGCCAAACAGGTGGGAATAAAAATCGATCCAAACTGGCTGTTGAAACAGTCGGGGTGTTGCATGCAAGCACTTCATTGCATTTGAATTTCCCAATCTAGAGAACTACTCTTATAACGGTCATGAAATTATCAATCGGTACAAAGCTTTACCTATTCGATACCGCTATAAAACATATCAATACAATTTGTGAATCGATGTCAAGATTGTCTGTAAGGGTTACCTCCCTTGAAAATGAAAACTCACAACTGAATGTCCGTTTATCGGAATTTGATACTGTTCCCAAAGGTCTTGGAAATAACAATGTCAACGAAAAGTGTCAGTCAAGCGAACAACTTACCAAACATGTACGTGATCAATCTACTAGATTGGAAAATCAGGTTAAAATTTTAAAAAAAAATCAGCAAGTGTAAGTCCGAAAAAGAAAAAGAACTTATGGAGGTGGCAGAAAGAAATGATGCAATAGCCGAGCAATTGACAGATCTTAGATGCCGGTCCATGAAATATAATCTTGTATTTTCTGGTATCTATGAACGTGATCGCGAGGACACTGAATCTGTAATAAGAGAATTCCTAGACAGACAGAAAGAAATTGCGAGGTAAGCCATACAAAATTAACAAACAGTTTCCTCAGGATATAGAGCAAGTCCGTAAAAGTCTCTACCCTAAATTCGTGAGAAAGGTGATCACGTCAAAATGGTACGCGACATATTGTATGTCAAAGGACAACCCTATGATAACGGGAGATCCTCCACACCACAGACCACACGGAGCCACGGAAGTTACAACTCACAGGAAACCCCGAATCGGCGTCGTATTCCAAAACGTGGACGTATGAGCTCTACTCCTGAAGGTCCCAAGGGACGCGAAGGGAACAACAACAAGTCTAATGACGTTATATCTTAAAACCACCATCTTAAGGTACTTTCACTCAACTGCTGTGGAATCAGGCGTAGACTTAATTACCCCGAGTTTCAAAGTCTAGTTTCGAAGCCTGATATCTTATGTTTCCAGGAAACCAAAACTGACGACATGGATGTGCTGAAATTGGAACGTTATGAGTTTGTCATGAAAAACAGGGGGAAAACCCAGTTAAACAAGGTCAGGAGGGATTGTAGTAGGTTTTAAATCTGAATTGAGACAATACTTGCATGTACACGAAAACGAAAGTAGCTTTGTTCTATGGTTTGAATTGTCTAAAAATCTTATCAATTTAGATAAAAGTGTTATAATTGGCGTAGTATACATCCCACCCGAATATTCCAAATACAGTAGCAGAGGCATTGAACTTCTACAGCATGTAAACAGGCACGGAAAAAATACAGGAAAAGTAAGAATTATTTTACTAGATGTAAATCGGATAACGCTAGATCTTATGTGGCACAAACAAATAAATATTATAAGTCAATTTTAAACAATTACATGAAATGAAGTCAAAAATTCCTAAAGAATACTGGTGGATGATCAAACCAAAGAAAAGTAAGCATAATGACATATCTACTGAAGCCTTATTTAACTTTTTCCGTGACCCTAATAGTTCACCTACTATCAGCTCAGAAGCAAAGCAAGAACTTGAAATGAAATAGGAAACGTTGATTTACAACAGATTTACATAAGACTTAATGAACCAATATCAACTACTAAAACAGAAAAATGAGTTAAAAATTTGAAAAACAACAAATCAAGCGGTGATGATCAGATAAGAAACGAATACATTAAAGCTTCCAAAGAAATAATGCTACCTTTACATGAAAAACGTTTTAATATTGTATTCTCAACAGGGGTAGTTCCTAAGTATTGGGTCGGAGGAAATATTATACCGATTTTTAAAAATAAAGGATCTGTATTGGACCCTAAGAACTATTTTTATTGACTTTGAAAAGGCCTTTGATACTGTTTGGCGTGAGGCACTATGGCACAAATTATTAGCTAATAACATCAATGGAAACATGCATAGAATTATAGTCATCATGTACAGTGAGATAAAGTCAAAAATAGTCAATAATAGAGAAACGTCAGATTTCTTCAGATGTGAAAATGGAGTCAGGAAAGGTGTAAATTTGTCATCTTTCCTTTTCTCCATCTTTCTCAACGATATACAATGTTTCTTATCATCAGAGAATGTCAACGGGCTTAATATGATATCTGAATTACTTAAAAAAACAAGCTCGGTATGTACTTAAAGTTATTTTGTTTGAAATATGCAGATGACACTGTATTATTAGCAGAAACCCCAAACGACCTTCAAAACATGCTGGATGGTTTCAAGAGATATTGCGATAAATGGAACATGAAAGTAAATATTAACAAGTCAAATATCATGATTTTCAGTCGAGGAAGAATACCTGATGATTTGAGATTTAACTATGATGGCAAACCGCTTGAAATACAAGATGTAGTCAAGGAATTTAATTTTCTTGGTATTTTATTTTGTAAGTTTTTCAAAAGCAAAAAATATACTAGCGCTTAAAGGAACCAGAGCCATGTACGAGGTACTGAAAAGGAGTAAATTGCATAATCTAACAATACAATGTCAACTTGATTTATTTGACAAAATTGTTACACCTGTTTTATTATATGGTTGTGAATTATGGGGTGTTTCTAATAATACCGTCATAGAAAGAGTTCATTTGAAAATCTGCGAATTATTACTTCACCTTAAATCTTCTACCGCTGACATCATGCGTTATGGAGAGCTTGGCAGACATCCTATTGGTATAGAAATTAAGACCTGAATGATATCATATAGGTCAAAACTGATTCGAGGTAAAGAAAGTAAAATAAGTAATATTTTGTATAGACTATCAATTATTATCAATTCGCATGGATAGAAAGCATAAAGAGAACTCTGAACAACTGCGAACTCTCTTATATCTGGTTAAACCACGATCCAATTAATCCAAAGAAGTGGCTTGTTTCCAAAATAAAACTTAACGTGACTGATCAGTTCAAACAAAACTGGGCAGAAATATGCAGAGACTCTCCAAAATCCACCATATACAGAGTTTTTAAGTAAGAAGCCGTGTTCGAAAACTACTTAACTTTTCTCTCAAAAAATGATGCTTATATTCTTTGTAGGTTTAGAACCAGAAATAGTAACTTACCTATTGAACTCGGAATTAGGAGTAATATACCAAGACATGAACTATTTGTCAATTGTGTAATGTAAGAGATATCGGAGATGAATTCCATTATATATTTGAATGTCCGGAATTTGTTTCTATCCTCTATGTTAGTTAGACGTCATAGTGTATTATCACTTAAGGTTATAATGTCATCTAAAAGAAAAGCATTCCTAAAGAACTTATGTAAAAAAAAAAATTAAAAAAATCTGTCTGTTCCCGAACATGAAATTATTTATTATATGTAATTGCAGTACATCTCCGTTTCTATTATACTGTATTCCTCTATATAACCACACATGCTAATTACTGTACAAGAAAACTTTGTATTTATATATCTCTGTATACCATTGTAATGCAAAGGTGTTGAGACAAATAAAAAGTTTGAAGTTTGAAGACTACTGATTTTCAAATGAATAATTTGTGTACGTCATAGACACAGTCATTACTCAAAGAGATTATTGCGGCCATTAAGATGTTGGCAAACCTCAGGGACTACGAAAGTCACCAACACAGTCTACTCCCAACAAACATATATAAATACTGCTTGCCTTCCATTTTAGGAAATGCTTTATCAAAAGACAAAGAAAAGATGCATCCATCTCAAAACCTCAATAGGATTTCTTTCTAAATAAAACCATAAGTGTTTTTGTATATTATATATATATATGGTCCACAGCGTAACGAATAATAACAAAATTATTGCCTATTTTAAAATGTTGTTTGGCCCTAAAAACAAAAACAAGCTTAACAGAAAATAATATTTTGCATTATAGAAATATATAGGTAATTAGTACGGTCAGAATTTATTGAGGTTTATGCATGTACAAATTTGATTTAAAGAATATTTACTAAATGTATGTATACTCCTAAATGAGAAAAAAAACAATGTAATAGTTTAATATCTTCTTTTTTTTTTTTCAGTGTCATGTCTAATATCGCTGCCATACGTTCTGTTCACGAAGCTCATAGAAGAAAATGACGTTAGCGTGTGCACCCAAAAATGGCCAATAGAGGGCATGGCGAAGGGTATGGCTTTAGGCGTGGTCATTACTTCATACATCCTACCCCTGGGCGTCATACTCGGCTGTTACGGAAAAATTCTCCAATACCTGTGGTGGGGAAGCAAATTAAAGAAAACTGACGTAAGTATTTCTACATTGTTTTAATGTTTTTGTTCTCACTTAAAGCTACTTGAATATCGACATTACGAAATACGTGGTAGACTTGAGTAGCGCACGCTCTTATACTTGACAAAGATGGTCATCGGTGGCATCAACCCACTTAAACTCTCTAAGCCCATTAACTCTAATACGTCAACATGAAGTGTTCAATGTACTTTAATGTGTTAGGATCTTCAAATATTTCCGTGTCAAGAAGACGTATATACGGTATGTATATGGGGTATGTAGAGTGCTATAGGTAATACTTAACATGGACCTGCGTCACTACAGCGATATCTTGCTATACAACTTAGTCCTGGCCTTTACGGATATATATTCACTACCATGAGGTGACGAAAGGGAAAATGGTGTCTATATGATCTTCCGGTGTTTCCTTATATTACTTAAGGACGCGTATATTAATATCAATGTCCATGCATTTACTCAACGCGTGGTAATTGACAGCAAAATGGAAGTAGGTGGATTATAAAAGAAATATTCAAAAACGAATATCTGAAATGTGAAAAATGGCAATTTTGCTGATTTGTTTTTCAATAAATCAAACAAGTAGCACTGGCAGCAGGAATGTTTATTTGACATATGTTTTTAAAACAAGATGGCAATAATATGACAACAATTGATGGTGAAAGACATCTTGTTTTTTATGTCGAATCACGTTCCTAATGTGAATTTTCATCTAAAATATATTTGATGTGTATAAGACAGAAATACATCACCATAATTGGATTGCATAATATTTTTAAGATTTATAATTGAAAGATTCTGAGTAATATCAATTACGCAAAAAAAACTTACATTATCACTAAAAATCACGTTTCAAATAGTCATTATCATTTCATGTATGAAACAGTCACGTCTGGAACGACCTTCTTATATCTACTGTTGATAATTATTTCTCATAACATATGAGAATCTCGTTAATTTGTCTGTTTGAAACCGATTAATTAGGGATATACGATCAGCTCATGTTCATCATATCAGTTACAATGAAGCATATCTTAAAGTGATAGAAATGACAATCGATGATGTTTTAGCGATTAGAGTCTGCGTAGTGGTATATTCCCTTCTAATTGGTTTCGTATCACTTTCACGGCCTTGAGTTAAATCAATGCGTGATAACTGTTCTAACATACTGTTTTAGTACATCTAACGAGAATGTGTATGGTGTATTTTGGGTAACAAATTAACAAACCAGATTTAGAATATAGTCTTAGTGAAAAACAATATCAGTGAGCATCTACCGCTGTGATCAGTGAACTTCTACCACCGTGATCAGTGAACTTTTACCACTGAGATCAGTGAACTTCTACCACGGTGATCAGTGAACTTTTACCACTGTGATCAGTGAACTTCTACCACCGTGATCAGTGAACTTTTACCATTGTGATCAGTGAATTTCTACCACCGTGATCAGTGAACTTTTACCACTGTGATAAGTAAGCTTCTACCCCTGTGATCAGTGAACTTCTACCACCGTGATCAGTGAGCTTCTACCACTGTGATAAATAAGCTTCTACCACTGTGATAAATAAGCTTCTACCACTGTGATAAGTGAGTTTCTACCACTGTGATACGTGAGTTTCTGTCACTGTGATCAGTGAGCTTCTACCTCTGTGATAAGTGAGTTTCTACCACTGTGATAAGTGAGTTTCTACCACTGTGATCAGTGAGCTTCTACCACTGTGATCGGTGAGTTTCTACCACTGTGATAAGTGAGCTTCTACCACTGTGATAAGTGAGTTTCTACCACTGTGATAAGTGAGCTTCTACCACTGTGATAAGTGAGTTTCTACCACTGTGATCAGTAAGCTTCTACCACTGTGATCAGTGAGCTCCTACCACTGTGATAAGTGAGTTTCTACCACGGTGATTAGTGAGCTTCTACCACTGTGATCAGTGAGTTTCTACCACTGTGATAAGTGAGCTTCTACCACTGTGATAAGTAAGCTTCTACCACTGTGATCAGTGAGCTTCTACCACTGTAATAAGTGAGCTTCTACCACTGTGATCAATGGGCTTCTACCACTGTGATCAGTAAACATCTACCACTGTGATCAGTGAACATTTACCTCTCTGATAAGTTAGCTTCTACCAATGTGATAGGTGAACATCTACCTCTCTAATAAGTAAGCTTCTACCAATGTGATCGGTGAGCTTCTACCACTATGATAAGTAAGCTTTTACCACTTTGATAAGTGTGTTTCTTCCACTGTGATAAGTTAGCTTCTACCATTGTGAAAAGTGAGTTTCTATCACTGTGATCAATGGCCTCTACCACTGTGATCAGTGAACATCTACCTCTCTGATAAGTTAGCTTCTACCAATGTGATCGGTGAGCTTCTACCACTGTGATAAGTAAGCGGTTGTGATAAGTAAGCTTCTACCACCGTTATGAGTAAGATTCTACCACTGTGATCAATGACCTTACCATTGTGATAAGTGAGCTTCTATTTTTGTTTTATGATAAGTGAGCTTCTACCACTGTAATCAGTGAGCATCTCTCAACCGTAATAATTGTGGACTGTATAATTTATATGACATATAGTCACACTGTAAACCAATATTATGATGGTGTGCAACAAGCATGCGATCATGCATAAATATACGTTCTGTTCGATAGTGGAACTCAAATAAATCGTGAAGCATAGCCTTTTATATATCATTCAGTTTCTGTCAATATGATTCCAGAATCACGAATTTTGATATCCGTATTTTATTCTTCAGATAAAAATTTGTTTTGAAATTTTAATATAAATTATACTAAACAATAGCAACAGCAACCAATCGAAATGACACTGCAGTAATCTAGGAGGCACAAAAACATAAGGATAGACACAATTAACTCTCTAGATATCGGGTAGGAAACCAGCGGAAGAGGCAGATACACTGTCCATCGATTCTTCCTCTCAAATTCAGTTCAGGAAATAGATATCCATCGCTGTACATCATCTCAGTGGGTAGGGAAAATCATGGTAGACATCTCAGAGCTTGGAATAACCAGAATACATCTCTAGCAAAACACATCAAAGCTCTCTACCATACATTAGATATTTAATTAGATAATTTCATCAGACAATTGGTTTTCTGTACAGAGTAATGCATAGAGGTTTGATAAGTTCAAAACCTGTCCAATGAACCTAGTTGTTAAGGTCAGTTCGGCTATGCTATGCTCAGTTAACGGTAAAAAACGACTGACGTTTCTCTTCCCGATAGGATTGCTTGTTTCACGGTCAATCAAACACTTACTATTGACCCTATTGTACCCTAAGTGCTCGTGATTCCACTCTTTGTCGTCATTGGGTTAATTTTAGGTTCAGCACGTCGGTCTATTACATGTTAATGCGGTCCCGTATATTCGGTATCTTGTCGGCTTATTCGATTGTTAAGTGACTTCCTTTCGGATGGGGAGCCGGCTATTGAATTTCATTCACACTGTTATTAATATAGGTCAACTGTGTTAGTGTAACATTGGGTAATGACAGACAAGAAGGAGATGACGATCCGGCAATATGATGGAAATGTACCGTGTTTCCTTTAAAGTGGCCCCAACGGCATCCACCAATTTTAATGATACAGTGTCCTTTTCTGGGTCAGGTGTCAAGTGTGAGTTCGTTTATTCGGTGATCCTGTACATAGATATGTATTCAACTATGTTTGAAACGTGATCAGACAGATTAGATCGGGTTGCTGCTGACCTCGATACATGCAATTTATTTGATAAAGGCCTTACCCGAGTGGCTGTCCTTGTAGGTATTTTCGTATTCAATTAAACTGAAAGTTTTATACGATTCAAATGTTTTGTTTGTTATTCCAGTGGTCACTCCTAAGTAACTCGTAACCCGATGCTTATTTGGGGTAAATCTTAGTTTAGTAGTTTATTGACCGTCTGATACATATTTTACCAAAATATGTATCGTTAAATATCATTGCTTTTCGCATATTGTAAAAAGACGACTAATATGGGGCCACCTGCATAATCGGGAATTTTCCTCGGCTAAGGGTTTCCTCGGCTAAGGGGTACTAAAGACACCTTAATTGAACTGCTGTCCAAATTGCAACAATTTAGATTTGTTTTTGGGATTTGTGACCCTGAGCATCCGTCTTCCTTAGACAATAGCTGTTGTGCGGATGCTAAACCGCAAACAAACAATCATAAAAGCCTATATATATCTATCTTTATTAACAATAGCATTGGATGTTTGAGTGAAATACCTCGCCATTATGTAATGCACACTAATGTGATTCTGCTTCATGATGCATAATTTTACTTCAAAACAGGCATGAATAATTGTGAGGATTGTTTTGCAAACAGACCGGAAGCAAAATAATTACAATCTGTATATACTACCAGTTTATTACCAGTCTAACGATTCTGCCCTACACCAGTCGTCTCCTACTTCAGTGGGATGCAGTGGATACGTTCTTGTCCTGAACGCTGATATGTTAAGTCCATATGGAGGAGGTGTTGAAATGTTATTAGTGAGGTATAATGATAAGTAGTTAAACGGTAAAGGGACATGATATACTGTTGGTAAATTATTATGTCTTGTCGTTATTTAAAGCACTGCTTGGTACATGTAAATGGTATTCATGGACGAAACATCATCATTTGAAAGAAAAACGTAACACACACACACATACAGGTTTATGCACCTTTAAAATTGGTAATAGACCCAGTAAGCGAAAAATGAATAACACCGCGTCATACACCATGTATATTGACTTTTAGCTTTGTAAATATCGGTCATTGTGTCTGGGTTTACGAGTAAGTGGAACAGACAAATCAGTAATCGTTGAGATAACTGCTCTGTCCGTCCCACCTACTCATAAACCCAGACCTTTAGTGTAAGAAATTCTGAGTTAACGTTATAGCTGCGTGCCTAATCATAGAACTTCATGAATATCTGTCTCCTCGTGAAACTGTCAAAATAAGCCTGGAATACGTCACGTAACCCATAGGA